ACGCTTCTTCTAACTTACATCAGAGACAACACTTCCGCTATCTTGTAACAACGAAAAAGTTTAGCGACAATGCCACTAATATCAATCACGAAATTTTTTAATTTAACTTTTAATTGTACAGGGACGATAAATGAATAGAATTTCTATGTATAGCTTCAAGTTATTAATACATACATGCAAATTTAATATTATGCATCCGTAGACGAAGTCGTTCTTTTAGCTTAGATTGATTTTCGTCGCTTCTGATTGATGTGACCCTGTTTCAGATCATCTACCTCTGTTCTAACTCGCGGATTCACACACGACTGTTAATAAACGCTAGTAGCAGTAACCACCCACTAGGTAAACTAGTTATACTGCTCAAAGCCACAGTAACTGGCCCTACCAGTTTAGCCTTAAGTTGTCTCGGACACGATGGGCACCTTCCTGAAATCAGCCCGTCCTTCCAGCGATTGTACAATAGGCAAGACTACGTTTCAGCTGCTCCGGCTGTACCCAAACTAAACTCCACTCCGACAGAACGCTTTCATTGCCGTATTGACCATTGTCCGACCTTAGTAGTGCCGACCATGTTCAAGATTTTCGAAAATCGACTACTGACAATTCCAGCTCTATTTTGTAGCTGCCGGCAATTCTTGCGGTTCCGAAGTCATCGGGCGATCAGCCAATCGAGGATCTATGCTGCCCTCCTCGAAGAGGCAGAAAGCACTAGTTCAACTGGATTTCATGATCTCGGTGGCAATGTGATGGCGGCGATCACCCATAGCTCAATAGTACCAGCAGTAGCAGGCAGGAAACAACAATAATGGTCAAGGGAAAAACGCTCACGGTCTGCGCGTTTGTCCACGCGGCAGGATCGATGTTAAGGCAACCCGAATAGGTTGTCACTACAGCGCACCACAAAAAATGCGATACCCTAGATTGCCATTACATCCTGTCAGTACCCCAGCTACTTCGTTTGAAATACAAGGCTCTATCTAGCTAGCTTGTGCAGGCAGCTCAAGTGGTAATTGTCAAGTACTGTGTTCTTCTAAATCCACTTTATAGGCACATATATGTCGCTATAAGTAGGTAAACGTCGCTGACGAACCGTTGTATTACTATGCTATATTCAGACAGGCGAATATAGCAGAATAAAAGTCGCAGGGCTACTACGTGCCGTATCGTTATTGAGCTGTCGTCGTACAGTTATCATGTAATTGTGGCCGTTTGCTCAACTAGCCAAGGTCCCACGTTTATGTGTCCAGCGCAGTATACTTTCAGATTTGGCCTTCCATTACGTTGTCAATAGCCGTTCATGGTGTGTATATATGAGAGGAAGGATAACAATGTCATATTACCTGCCTAATTGCGTTAAGCTAATCGTGTAACTAACGTTCGATAGCGCATGTACATGATACGAAGCGATTACGAACCTGAAACGGGAACACCATGTAACAGCTAGCCGTCTACGTGTCCATTGTCAAATATGCAGATTCTTTGAAGACCCTTCACTTTCAAGGCCGATAGCTCTAATACTATACTGGCGAACAGTTGTCACCTCAGACTCTCTGAACAGCTCTGCACAAATCAAATCGGGTCAGGTAACGATGTTCTATCCAGCCAACAACAGTTACGGTCAAAGAATTATACATAGGTATACGTAATGGAGAAGGAAGGTCAAAGTCTGTCACTGTTAAAGGTACCTCCGTTCGTTCTCGTCAGCGCTTACCTCGTAAAATCAAAATATGGCTGACTATCATACACAGAATAGTACGCGATTCGATGACATTCGCCTGATGAAAAAAGACGTAGATCGAATAGTTTTGAGAAGTCGATATAGCGTTGGCTGGGCTTTAGGCTTAGGCACAGTGCTTCGTTAGACTTAAATGAGCTTTTTGCAGTTATCGTTGTGACTCACCTCAGCCATATTGACTTAGCGAAAGACACATGCGGACAACTTGAGACAACGAAATGCTCTCTTAATCCGCATGGTAGATGTAAACGACGATCCAGATTAGAGGCTTTCCGGGAACGAGTGCACGAGCTGCATAGCCAAGACAGGCGTTACGGCTGAAATACTCCACCCGAACTTGAACTGGCCCGTTTTTAGAAGTAGATACGTTGAGCATTTGTCCGCCCTTATGAATACTGCGCAAAAACTGTTGCTCTAAATCGATCTTTGCTGAGATGGCAATCGTTAGTTGGATACGATGTGTTGTTGCGTCGCCTCGAGCAGGATTCGATCATGCTACATAAACGATAGTTTTTAGCAACGATTGGTAAGGTTACGTAAACAGCGACAAAAAAAAAAGTTTTTTTTTTTAACATATTCGTATTCTGTGAAATACATACAATGTGGGGACTGGATAGAGTTCTATAATCGGCGTCGGATGAATGCCCAGTTATTTGCACTAAGCTATTTATGGTTCTGTTAAAACTTTACTAAATGAGAAAGTCACAAAGCATGATAATCATCTTTGTATCAAAGTCAACCCTATCAAAGGAACACTGCCAGTATGCCCTATGCCGGTTGAAGGCCTAGTCCTTTTTTACCAACGACACAGCATAGTTAAGACGATTCGGTATCCCCAGTGCTCATAGACCGCCATCGAAACGTACTGAATCCTGGCCCAGACACAAACGTGTCTCCGGGTCCCCGAACAGGTAGGTCGTGTCTATCCGCTGGCCTGAAATGCAACATGGAAGTTATTCTCTTACTTTTTCTAGCACTGCGCTCGTCCGGCCTTGATGAATTTCTCTAGCGTGTCCTCGCGATAGCTTGGCGGGTAGCGTATTTAGCTGTGCTGTAGATTCGAAACCATAGGGAACTAGTTCGTGCTACGACGACGTAAAACTCAAGACAACCTTGTTTTTTGTCTTCGGCCGTGAGCGAATGATCTTCCGATCTTTTTCAGCTGTCCACTTGACTCTCTGATTGAAAGCTTTTGTTTTGTATCGACTCGATTTGCACGTTGCGACATAATCTGCATACTTTATGCGTGCGTTTAACCAAACGTCCCTTGGTCTGATTCTATCGAGCGGCATATGGTGACGTACTTTATTTACTGCTGCTGCATTTACAGAGGATCAAAGGATACACTGTTATAGCAGAGATTAGCTCGCGGCATACGTCGTAGCTAGTGGCGCAGATAGAAGTAGCTGCCACTGTTCATAACTGGGATGGCTGTTTGCTTCATTTTATAGCGAAAAAAGCTAGCGCGACAGGGGAAAACTACGCGAGCCGTCATGTAGGACCTGTCCTATCAATAGTGAAGTTAGGAGAAAAAAAAATGGAATTATGAAAGTGATAGATATAAGTTCGCGACCATTTGGCACTGCTGCATTGCAGCTCGCATTGGCAGCCAGTATTTGACGTACGGTCCTGGGAAAGAGGCAACTCAATCGGAATATAAAATATACCACTTAATATACTGAACGTTAAAAATGTTTATGAGCTTTGAGTGTTCACGTGAGAGTTGCCATAATTCATTCGCTGTTGATCAACTCTCACCAAGTTTATCATAGGAAAGCTATAGTATCGCTATAGATCGGCTTAGTCTAGTCTCATTGATGGAATCAATTGTTGTTTTCAATAATTCATCATACGAATACGCCTGATATAAGATGAGAATATTACATAAATGGGCACCGACTCATTGTTTGGCCCACTAACCCAGTCTCTTTGATACTGGACAAGCTTTGGAAGGGCCCCGCACTGAATGATAATTACTGGTCCTAATGCGAGCACGATATCATTGCTTTCTAGTGTTGGTCAATAAAATCAAGTCAATCGGCCTAGCAAGAAAAATAGGCAAAAAACATTGACAAGGCCATATTTTTACAGCATTTTCCTCTTTCGGGCTTGGCTTATTTATTTTAGGGTATTGTTTAGTTGATGATTGAAAGCGGACTTCGAGGGGTCCGATGCACAATACCACCACCTATTTGTACCAAAACATAATCTTATTACTCTAGGCCTTACGTATTGTTTCGATCCGACTACAATTATAGGCTAAGGATATCTGTTCGGAGCCTAATTTGTAATGTACATAGGTATTAGACGCAGATAACATATCTGTTTTACGTTCTTATCCCTGAAATAGAGCAGCCTTGATGCATTTATTTAGATACGCGTATCTATAATAGATTAGAGTTATCGTCGGTGGATGTCGCTGGACTTTATCGAAAGAGCACACTTTGTTATCGGCGTCTAGAGTGAGACGACGTAGAAGAATGGAAAAAGTACACTATTACCGTCGTCGCCGCCATCGCTGGCGGACGACCGACAAAGCGACCGACCGAGGGACGAGTAGGGAGCCACCGCGCTGCGGCGACGCAGCGAGGACGAATTCGATGGATGCCCCTCCTCCTTTTTTGCCCTCCGTTGTCCTCCCCCAACGCGAGTTAGCAGCGCCGAGGCGCATCGCCCGCCTAGCTATCCGCCCATCTCCGCCTTGCCATCGGCCTATCGTCTCGTTTGCCTCGGCGACCATCTCGCGCGCGACCTACCCTGCAGGCTACTGCCAGCAGACAGCTCACCGACGGCAGCGGCCCCTGCTGCCTATTGTGAGGGCCAAGCAGGACAGGGAAACAGGGAAGCTCGCTCGGTCCCTAGATCGGACAGCCAACAAGGAAAAGGGCAGGCAGGGAAGCAAGGAAGCAGGAAGGCTACCAATAGCGTGACCGTCGTAGCAGCAGCGGCTCTGTCTGGGGCGAACGAGCCCGGCTGGTCGACTCGAGCCAGCTAGTCGAGGAGAAATCAAACCGAGCAGCGGCAAGCAGAGCTATCTGCTTCCATTATGTCTGTCGAGAGCGTATGACTCTCTCCCGCCCTCATCCACTCATCAGCCGCCTGGACGACTGGCTTCCCGGCCGTCGGGCTGCTGCTGCTGCTGCTGTCGCCGCTGCCGTCCGCTATCACAATCGATAGACACGCAGAAGAGACACAGACGTTACGGAGACTCCATGCGGGGCGCATCGTTAGTGTACAGTTGTTCTGCGGCGTGACAACACAGCGCTATGCTGCTGATAATGGTGATCGTAGCCGACATCGTCGCGGTCCGCAGCGAAGTTGTGGTTCTTATGTTATTTTAGGCTCGAAAGCTTGTTGCTTTATAGTAAGGCTGCTACCGGTAGCAGAAATGATCTTCGAAGATGTCGTAAAGTGTGATGTCCTGTTAGTGCTGATGGAACTGCTTCAGTAAGCTAGTTAAGTGTGGTGAGATATGTGTCCTACGTAACGATGAGTCTGCCAGCGATCGCCAGTCAGTTAGTGGTCTAAGAGGCATCCGATTTAATTGGAGACGGAAAGGTGACAAAAGCAGAGGACCCAGTGACGTTTGGAATAATCATCGCATCACTGCGTAGTCGTCGTTGCAACTTGCCTCCTACTCCGTAACGGGGCACATAGTGTGTGCAACACTGCCCAGGGTGTTGGGAATTTTTATTCGGTCTTCGTCATCTTTTGCTATCTACAAGACAAAAGAGGACAAAAACAAAAGCCGCGTCGACCAACCCGACGCAATAGGAAATAGATAAGCGAAGGCCTTCTGCGCGTCATCGGTCATATTCATTGCCTAAACGACGCCAGAGATTTTCACCGAGTGCATGTGCGAGCCGCAATCGACGCTATCGGCATTACAACAGCAGACCAGATTGTTATAACCCCACATCTCGTTAAAGCATTGGTATATGTATACTCATGCTAATGTGCCGCGAGAAGCCTCTGCGAGCTTCAGCGTTTTTCCGTGTAGATGTGTGCGTTCTCCATGGAAGTGTTCATGTGCAAAGTACGATTGTGTCCGTACGCAATCCGTGAAATAACCGTAGTACGAACCGATTTCCAATGCCTCATTCATCTGTGACGGAAGTGATGGAGCTCGTGACCAGTACAGCGTTGATGTGTTGAGCGATCCAAAGCGCACTGACGTTCCTTTCTGTGAAGTGTATGAACGCCAGCTCAACAGGCCATAATTAGTGGTCAGGCCGTGCGACGATAGCTGCTGAGGGCTGGTTCTTTCACTTATCACGCGCTCGTCGTTTTCATTACTAAGCTATTTCTGCTGATGGCTATTGTCACTACAACATCGCTCGGGGGATGAAAGAAAAGAGTGATTGTGAGTTGCCACAAGAAGCCTTCCCCTGTGGGCGAGTGTGTACGAATTCTGTCATATCTCGAACGGCGAGAGCGCGAGGACGACTGCCTGTTTGACAGAAAAGCCATTATTCTAATAATCACAATAATCGTATAGGCACCTTCACCCTTCTCGTCGAGTACACCGTGACGTTGCACTGCACATTACGCCTACAACGATCTCAGAAAAGCCCTCACGAACGCGACTAACGCCACAGCCGGACGGAAATCGTTCCATGAAACGAATCGGCTGCATTACCAGGAGTGGAAGATGACCGAAGGATAGGCGTGCTGTTAGTTGCGCATCTATGTTAATTAATAACGTATGCATTCATGATAGTTTTAATTTTGCCGCAATATAATTGTATTTGATATGAGAGAAATCCGTACAAGTGGGCTAGAATCATCACTGACAATGTCCAGTTGTGAGTAATGGCCCGCACCCGGGATTGAACTCAATTATCAGTTGAGGTTCTGAGATGATTTTTCAAACAGCGAGAGTAGTGAGGTGCAAACTTTCTCACAACATAGTTCCTTGTTAATATTCTTAGCAGCAACGTGGGTAAGCCAGTCTAAGCCCTGTTTCGCTCAGTACTTTATTGTGCTCCATTATCATGCCATTGTTGCTAACCAAAAGAAGCCAGATGTAATTTGTTTTGTCCTATTTCATTTTATCCTACGTTTGTTAAAAGGAAAAGCTATAGAACAGCAGCCCCGTGCCTGCATGCATCATCAGTATCACCAATACTCGTATATATCGGAAAGTCTAAATCTTTGTTCGCTAGCCAGTTTGTTGCCAACCAAAGCACTGCTTAATCAAAGTAGAATAACGATGCCGAGGGAGGAGCTCTATGAAGCGATTCGCTTTCTGTTTGCTATGAAACAGTCAGTCGGTTGCACATCTCCTCTGCTATTTTCCTCCGCCGGGTCTTCGTTCTCTCGCGCGTGGGCGTGCAATGGGGCCCGGCCCATCTCGAACATCCCACAGCCCTTCGCAGTCGCCATCCATCGCGGTGAAGTGGAAAACTCGGTGAAGGAGGGGGTCACCGGGAGACGGGTGGGGGTAAAGGCGGGCGTGATGGGTGCTTCACAAAGGGCGGCAGCGGCAGCTGCGGCGGAGGCTTCATAGGCCTGGGCGGCTTCTGTACGTAGCATGGCCCGCTGGACTGCTGATGGACCCCAGGCCATGACGGGGTTACTGCTATCGCGATGGTAGTAGGGATGGTGTCGGCTGCCGGCCGGCGGTGGGCTACGGGCCGTGGTGGTTCCTGGAGGCGAGAGGACCGCCTCCAGGCCTCAAGCCCTCAGCGAGGCCATCTCATTGGCTGTCCTGTGTCATCCTCCTCTCCCATTGGAGAAGAGCTGCTTCATCTCTCCGCCCTCCCCCCTCGACTGCCCGCCCGAGACCCCCAGTTTTGTCTTCAGGTCAAAGCAGCCCGCTGAACAGCCGGCCACTGGGAGCTAATGGAAGCAACTGGAACGCGTGTTTTGGTCCACCGTCCCTTGGCCATTCGCTCCGCTGCCATCGCGGCAGTAGAGCCCGCGGCAGTAGAGCCCACGGCCAGGACAGCATTGAAAAGAAGAAGAAGAGGAGGCATTTTTACGCCATCGCCGCGTTTTTATGGCTTCTCTCGCTAACCAAGCAGCCAGCCACATGACTAGCAAAACCCCTTCGAAAGTGGCGGCTTTGTCGCAGCCGCCGCCAGCTCTCGTTTGCGTGCTGTCCGTCAGAGGGGCAGCAGCTCGACACAGACCGGTAGCTAGGACCTCCGTCCATCGGCAAAGTGGGATGATGGAATCCTACAGAAAGCATAGTCGAAGCGCTTCGGCCAATGAAGAAAGATGCACCCCCTTTTGCCGTTTTGTGTCAAACCCCTTGCTGCTTTTTTCCGCTCTTACCATCGTGTTCGCCACTGCAAGAGGTTCAACCTCATTGGGCGGAGTTAGAGGGTCGTTGAAATAGGGATGGATCAGATTGAAAAGCAGTCCGATGAAGATGCCGAGCGCGCCCGCTTCAGATACGGAACGGCTCGTTGGGGTAGATGTGTCTGGTGGGAATAGCTATTGCCCACGAAGAAAGCGGACTTAACAACTCAACAGATACTTGGTGCTTTGGATCTTAGCATATAGAGAGAACATACTGCTGGTATCCAAATGTCAGTAATGGCTGATGCTGTTTTGACGAATAAATTGAATAAAAGATAAAAGCATTGCAACAGCTATGAAAACTTCATCATCAGTCGTTGACATCGCACAGCAGTCATCACGAAGCGTAAAGTAGTATGAGGTATCTTCTAGTGAAGGGTGAAGTTGCAATATTCATCAGACGGTGATAAAGAAGGCAGCATGAACCTAAGGCGGATAAGGCTTTGCTATATATTTAATGAAGACACACTCGGCTGTCGCAACATAAGCAGGGGTAACCGATGTTAAATTCGTTCGGCTGGTTAGATCTATTGAAGTAGCGCTGAAGTTCATCTCTGTACAAAGCCGATTATTAATGCCTGATCGTAATTAACAGTTTATAGATAACATACGTTTGATGCAGGATATAGGCGGAGGTTTATTGCACACAATATTGTTGTAGTTCAAAACTAAAGACCGCATTATCTAGAACATGCACCCAAAACACACCCTATTGAGACCGCGTCATAAAGCTTTAGCGTATAATCCCAATATTGACACTTATCAAAATCCATGGATTTTGTTCGTTCACAACCTTGCTCTCGTCAACATTTACAACAGACTAAGATTTGGAAAACTTTAAAATAGCCGATTTCAGCTAGTCAAAAGCCATTTCAATCTTATTTATTATAGAGTCGGACTCAAAGGACAAAATTGAACTGTATGTTTTGTGTAAACAATTTCTTCCTCGTCCTTTTGGTTCTAATTCTCATGAATTCCTGTCACTGATGACGGGGTGTGGTTCAATGGGTCTTAGTTCAAGGAATACATACAAATATTATTAAAATGAAAAATGATTGCTATTATTGACATTTTTTCCTCATTAGAGGAGGTTTTGGGTCATTTTTTTCATAAAAGTTTATCACCAAGAGTTGAAATTGGTACGGTATGATCATCAACAAAGGTAATTCCTTTTAATCTTTATGAAATCCTTTTAGTAAATAATGTTACATTTGTTTTTTTTCTTGTTAAATAACATTATCCTTGTATGGCTACATTTATTTGCTGGGTCCTGCCGGTAAATAAATATCATGTAAGAGATAACACAAACTATCGATACGTTAGCACGGAGCGCTTCGAAAGTCCAAAAACAAACAAGATTTAATGAATCTTCGACTTTTGCCTATGTCTAGCTTTGCAAGCGTATATTTGTTTTGGTAATTTTGCGAATTGTTTCATTGGTTCGTCCCTTGTATGCTTATGTCAGTGTTCAGAGAATCTAACAGCAATCGAACCCATCTTTCTTTGCATCGAAAAGTAGGGTTTCCATCAAAGTGCAAACTTTAGCAGTGGGATTTTCAAAAAAAAAGGTAATGCAATAATTGTATCCTTTGTTTTTATTGAAATACGCAGAACCTGGTGAAAGGATGAGCGTTAACCGGGTTTGAGAGAGGACTGTTCGGATCCTTTCTCGGGACCGGCGGTGTCGAATAGTTCATATGACGTGCACGGGTGGCGCCACTGGTGCTGCCCATGTCCACCAGCCGTCGGCAACTCACTATGTTCAACTGGCGGCAACATGATTTTGATTGGGAACTGACTTTGTCTCGACCGTTATATCCGATGTTGTCTACCGACTCCTTTAACTCAGACTCGTTGTGTGTTTGGCATTTACCAGTGTCTTCCTTTCTTCATGTTTATATATATCTAGTCAAACATTGACGTGCTTTAAGGGCTAAGCAAACAGACGAGTATGACTCGGTAATATAAATGCAAACAAAGAAGGATATGAGAATATTTTGTCATAGTATCTAGCTATATATATAGAAGTAGACTTTGTGTTCGCCCTTTACATAGGGGCGGTAGAACTTTAACGATACACGTTCATGTATTACAACTCATGACTACAATCGCTCTTGCGATTACCTACTATTATTTTTACTAATAATGATTAACTTTTAGACGCAAACAGGTGCGTAAATCCGTAAAAATGTTCATGTACAGTAAACGTTGCCGTAGCAATAAATATTCATGACGACATCGCATAGATCACCTCTATGTATGATATAGGCATGTATCACCTACATATCAACGTACGTGCAGACCCTAAGACCAGTGTATACTGCGAAACCACCCCAAACGGTACGCAAACAAGCGGCCTTATTTGGCGTGCTGCGCTAACGGCCCTGCCGCTACGACAGCTGCACTAGCGTTAGCCACGGCAACGACAATGGACGGCAACAACGACAGACGCTAAATGATATTCGACGCTGATCCCCGCCCTCCGTTATCTCTTAGAACCGTTACGATTCCGTCTCAAACAGTTTCATCGCTGCCAGTCCCTTTGTTATTCGACTTTCCATTCCCTTCGTGCATCGGTTAGCGATGGTCAGCTATCCCGTTGAGCTGGCGTCCGACAATACGTTTGCCTCTGGTAAGCTGTCGTCCGCTTGGTCCGTTATGGTTTTCTCTATTCAAGCGACACCGCCGACTCATAGCGCACAACGGCGGACGCAAACACAGATACAGTCGAAACACGCACAGATGCTTCGAGACGCCGTCTATAAACGCGCAGCAAAAGCTAACTCACGCTGATGACGCTGCTGCTACTGCTGTTTCACTGACGGGACACGTTCGAACTGACCTTCATTGGAAATCATCTTAGGTGACGCGCATTGCGGCGTCACTGTTGTTCGTTGAGTAAGTTTCGTCTTTCAACTTCTTTCTCGTTTTTTGCTTCTTGGCTTGTCTCTGTTTTCCTCTTGGTGCCGTCTCGTTTTCTAGGCGTCTTAATATTCTCCTGTAGTGGGCGCCTTCTTCGTTATCAGCTAGCGTCCATCTAAAGTTTAGCTGTCATCAGCGTGGTGGTCGTCACCATGAAGTCGAATAGCTGTTGGGTGGTTGAATGGTCCACGTTGAACGAACCAGACAGACAACCGTCCAACGACGCGACATAGTAGTGTTTTCCAATTTTTCAATCACCGCCACTAAATAACCCCACCCGTATCTTGTTCGGCCTTCTCTCTCTGCTTTCATCGCGACCCTTGTAGAAAAATGGAGATAGATAATCATCAATATCAGCAGCAACGGCATTACAGCTGGCACCGTCTGCGTCAGCATCGAAATTGCTAGGATACATGCATAGTGCGTGAAGGAGCCCTCTTTACCGATAAAAAAAGATCCGCTGCTGGGTCCAACC